TAGATGTAGACTTGACAAAACCACAGCACAATTAATAAAGCCTGGAGTAGACTCCAAGGATGCAGACACATAAGTAGTACTGCTGTCCCTAGATGTCTTCACCCCTATTCATCTTGCCACCCTTTGTGACCGATCCTCTTTACTAATGCCATTAGTGCTTCATCATCTCACAGATTACCTCAGAGAAAGAGATATAGAGTCCATGTGGCACCGCTATTTTAAGGCTTCTCTTTCCCCCCACATCTCAGTCTTAACAGTGCTCCTATGCAGCGGTTCAGGGTGGGTCCTCTTATTCCTATTGAGTTTCAAAGGCACTGAGGCTTTGGCAATTTGTGTGATTTTTGTCTTCAGCAGAGTAATGAAGAGATCATCCTGTATACTAGCACTTCTGGTCATGCAGGCTCCTTTAAGGAGCTAGAATGGTTCCAGGGTGTCTCTGCGGTATTGACAGGTGTCTGGATTGCTTGTTGAGAATACAGCCTTGTTTTATCATGTTGTAGAATGAAGCCATTGTAAGCCAGGAACAAGTTGCCTTTTACACTTGTTAACAGCCTTATTTGGAGATATTTTCAGTTTGGAAGAGACAGTGACAAGACTGACAAGAGCTTTCCCAGATGTTTGGCATCACAGAGTGACAGAGTTTCTTCTGTGTGTCTGTCTACACTGAGTGCACTTCTTGTTTTCTTAATTTCAGTGCTGTTTGAATTTGGCCTTAGTGTAGCATTAGACTTCCCAGTGAAAAGGCCAGAGTGTCTTAGTTTGGCAAACTGGTTACCTTTTCCCCCCTCTTGAATAAAATGGGTAAAGAAAGAAAGAAAGCCTTGTAATCTGTAAGAGAATTCCAGTACAGTAAAAACATTTCCATTTATAGGTTAGGTAAGGTGAGAAAGTGTTAAAGAGTTGGATATACTGTTAATAGTTGAGAGGTTCAGGGAAAGCATATGGAGTACTGTATCGGTGAACTGCAAGTTAATTGATCTGCACACTACCTATCTGCAGGCCTATCTCCTTGTCCTCCAGGGCTGTTGCTGTTATTAATTCCAGGACTGTATTAAAGAGTAGTGGTGAGAGGACGCATCCCTGCAGCACTGCTATGATTGTCTTAAACTGATCACTTAGTTCCCCACAGACTTTGGCTGATTCAAAGGTATCTTTATAAACATTATCTGGTATCCTTATAATTTTCTCTGGGTATCTGTAGAACCTCATTGTTTTCCAAAGTCCTTTCCTCCAAATGCTATCAAATGCGTTCTTGAAGTCAATATAACAGACATATAAGTCTTTTCCAAATTCTTCATATTTTTCTGCCAGTTGCCTCAAAGTGAAGATCTGATCAATTATATTCCTCTTAGCTCTGAATCTGCCCTGGGCCTCTGCTAGGATTTCTTCTGTTCTGCCCTTGATTCTTTGCAGAATAATGGAGAAGATCTTGCTGCTATGGCACAACAAACTAATGCCCTTGTAATTTGAGCAGTAAAGATTGTCCTTCTTGTTTATGGGAATTAGGACTGAGTGCTTCCATTCTGTGGGAATCACTTCATGTTCCCATATCTTTCTGAAGAGTCTGAGAAGTACCTCAGCCCCTGAGCCTATTGTAGCTGCCTCCAGCTCCTCCACTGTGATGTCATCCACCCCTGGGACCTTTCTGTGTTTTGTTCTCTTGATAGCTTCCTCTATCTTGATCCTGTCAATATTTAATATTTCCTTATTGTTTCTGGTGTTGGAGTGGCTGCCTAAGGTCATTGTATAGGGTGTCAAAGTATTGTCTCCATCTTTGCTTTATTTTCAACACTTCTGCTGAAAGTCTAAACGAGCTGCAGGCCATGGTAAATAGAGTGGTGGAAGTCAGTGAAAACCTTTGTATGAAAGTGAACATCAAGAAGACTGAGATAGAACATATGGGAAGGGTGCACAAAGATTTTAACATGCCTCATCCTCCTTTGCTGTGACTGTCACATCACACCCCACCTTTGCCTTTCTTAAGTTCCCTCTTAACACTGAGTGGCTGCAACTTCTTCATTCAACTGGGTAGAGGTGATTCCTGGCCAGTTACCTGTAACACAGTGAGCGTTGTGGCCAGACCTAGAATTATTATGTGTCTTGAAAGGTGACATGTGACAGTCTTGTTTGGTTTTCACCTTTCATAGAAAAGTTCTGAAATACAATTCTTGAAGTAAAAACAGAGTTCCAGTCTGCCCCTGGGACTCTGGGGAAAGCAGAAGAATGACAGTACACAGGGCCAGCTGCATGTGGAGATTGTGTGTCCCTGGAGTACCCTGAGCTCATTATGTTTGTTGAAAGTTCCTACTGCACATGGACCTTGCTGGTGAGGAGACTAATTTTGGTGGTTGCATGCCAGCCTCCACTGACCATAGAGAAAAGGTCAATGCCACATCTCTTTAGGAGAACCAGCAATGCTTGAGACAAGGCCCTGGGGAATAAGGCCAGTTCCCCCAGGCCATTGTAAAATAAAATTTTAGCATTATGTTTATAAAGTGTGCCCATTCAGGATAGCAAAAATTGCTCATTTTTACTTTATTTAGAGGAAACCAGGTAATCCTATGAATTGGGTGTTTTCTGTTTCTGCATATTCTCTAATGTGTCATAATGCTTCCTGACTGGTGACATAGGTATGTCTGTTTCTATGTCAATATGCACTCTTGATGGATTTTGGTAGTGCGTAGACATTGTCTAGGTCGACTGAAACTTAGCATGCATGTGCACTTCTTGGAAGTCCTTTCAGTCAGTGGTGACCCCATTCTTAGTTCTAAGGCAAAGAATCCCGACTTTTGGGTTGTCAGCCTTACCCTCAAGGACACTCACTAGGATATAAAAACAAGTTCTCCATTTGACAAGATCTGGCAGTCCTGTGGTTCTGGCTACCCGTGGGGAAGTATTAGCTGTTTGCTTGTTTTTTTCTGGCAATCCCTCTCTTCTGCTGTATTTTAATGGTAAAGGAGAGGTTTTGATAGTGTCTGGGCAGTCATTTGTGTGACGCCTTTGTGTAAACAGTCCTGCCCCTTCTGTTCTAGTTGACAGCTTTCTGTGGTGACTTTGTATGAAGCTTTCTGAAAGTTATTTGTTGTGACTAGGAGTACATATTTGCTGTCTCTCTGTTATGTAGAAGTCCTCATAACATAAACATTAAGCGACACACGTTTGTTACCACCCTCTGCTTTTTTAAACAGTAGCAAGATCCTAACTTGAACTGGAAACTTCCCAGACTACCTTACATCGGGGCTCTATTTAGTTCAGGTTGAAGCAAGTTTGAGAGATTGTGTCTTTCTTTCCTGTCTTTTTCCCATCGAGCCTCCCTTATGGCATTTACTTGTGAAACTCCAGTGAACTGCAACAGAAGTTAGAGTACCCAAAAGACCATATTGCTTAAGAGTCTAGAGTTGCTTTTGTTTCTTTTACTTGCTTTCATGTGTGTGTGAGCACACTTGTATATGCAGCTGTGCATGTGCATGGGCCTATTGTCTGGGCAGGTGCAAATGTGTGTGCATGCCCATGGTGCCCTGTTCTGTGATCAGTTACACCTTGTTCTTGGAGACAGGATCCTTCCATCAAACCTGTAGCTCACTGATAAACCCTGTCTCCTCCTCCAGAGGCTAAAATTACAGCCGAGTCACCATGCCTGTTCAGCATTTAAGTGGGTTCTGAGAGTTCAAACTATAGCCCTCTTGATTGCCTAGCAAGCACTTTAACTATAAAGACACCTATCTTCTCAGATTTTGTTTCTTTAATCAAATTTGGTGAGCAGTTAGAAACGGCTCATGTGTAAGAACTTGCCTCCCGTTCTTGTTTGCCCAGAACATGTCAGTGCCCGTGTGAATAAGCATTTAGTGTTGTCTCCATCATCTCTTTGACCATCCTGTTTTTCTTTTCTTTCATCTTTAGCTCATTGGCTGTAAAAGCTAAAAACGGGCACTATTTTTATTGGTGTTGATTGGGTTCATGGAAATTTTGTTGGAGTAATTTAATCACAAATAGTTTCTTTCTGGTACTATAAGTGGAGCTGAATACTGTTCAGGCTTTCCAGAAATATTTTCTTCTCTTTCCTGACTGAATTTTATTCTTTTACTTGGATTACCCATTTCTACCCTCTAGAGTAAGACTGTTCTTTTATTATTAACTTTAGACTGGGGAAGTTCACTAGTGGATACTAAGTTGTTGAGCTAAATGGAGGAGCCTCTGATCCTCAGAGATTGTTCTAAGGCTGGGGCTGCAAAACCAAATGCCCATAGGAATGGGAAGGCAGAAGTGTGACTGTGGACAAGGGTCTTGTAGTCCCTGTCACATCTGAAAAGTCTAATGCCACCAGATGGTTTGATTCTCCTCTTTCTCCTCCCCTTTCTCTCTCTCTCTCTCTCTCTCTCTCTCTCTCTCTCTCTGTGTGTGTCTTTCTGTGTGTCTCTCCGTGTGTGTGTCTATGTGCGTACATGTATGTGTGCTCAAGCAATCTTAATGATTGCTATATGTTGACATAATTTTTCTTTCAAGTATGGATCAGGTAGTACACCTGCCATGCCCACATCAGAAACCCACATGACTCATATACAGTTTGTCTTTCAAACACTACCTTTCAGCATGATGGTATCAGTGACCTGAGATGACCTCAGATCTCATTTGCTCACTTCTGATGAGCACATTCCCTGACAAAGGTATAGAGCTTACCCAGAATTGTGTGTTATAGTCTTCCCTACCCTTTGGTGACCTCTCTCAGTGCAGAGCAGACTTTTCAAAGGATAGTGGAGTTTCAGGATGCTAGATCTCCTGTGGAACATCTCAGATTGTGCTCCTCTACCCCCAGCCCTGCATACACCAGAGTTTTCAACAGCAGTGTTCTTAACGGAACCAGAAGAATCTACTAAGACAGAAACTGGCTTCCACGGTCATTGAATGTGCTAGGAGTTTAAGATTGAGAACTTGAAAGCTAATCATTATTCTGCCCAGTTATCGACTTGTTATTTACTTAATTTCTCTTTCTTTCTTTAAAGATTTGAATATGGAATTCAATCCTTCAGACCATCCTCGGGCCAGCACAATATTCCTCAGCAAATCTCAGACAGATGGTAAGTTACTAATTCATTTGCCTTTAAAAATACAGTTAGCCTAAATGTGAACATTGCTGGGATTTGATTTTTCAGTGTATGATAGAGTCCCTTTAGTGGTCCTGAAGTAGTGTCTGGTGATTCCCTTTGTTTATTCTTTAGTAATGAGTTACAGTTTTAGAATTTTTCATTTGAAATAATTGTCTTTCTTTTGCCAATTAGCTGGGTTGTCTCTGCATATATTCCACACCAAGATTCGAGTCAGAAATTTCCCTTTAGGTCCTAAAGTTTAGGACATGATATTTATATAAGTTCTCAAAGATCAGATGTGTTCACTAGTTAGATAATAAGTAAAATAAAACAAAAATCTAAACAATTGAAAGCCAATTAACTGTCTCAGTCTTGTCACTCAAGAGTTCAAGTGAACCTACATGTGACATAATAGATATATTTATTTATTTACCTATTTATTTACTTATTTATCTGTTGATCTTTTTATTTATTGAAGCCAACTTATTCTAAAATTGTTAGAACTCTTGCACTCTATCCCAGGTATGTATAGGATTTCTCCTACACTGTGACATTGTCTCTTCTAGTTTACCTAACTGTTCTGGCTTCAAAAGAGAGAGAAGATAAATGCAGATTCAATCTTCATAAATCTTTTTGGACACCTATAGAGTAAGGCATAATGACAAAGTGACCATGGTGTGTCTGGCAAAGAGGAAAACTTGCAGAGCTACCCTTGACTCTTGGACAGATTGATGGCTCTAATTTAGATCTTGAAGAGACTACAGAGAAGACAAGTATGTCTGTGACAGTAGTTGATGGTAAGAATTGAAAGTGGTGAGCAGTGGTTGGTGCCAGCCTTGGCAGGATACAGTGCTGATGCAGTATGGATGGTTTTCTAGCAGGCCACTTGAAGTCTTTGGCACAGCTGTTGTTGTTTTTTGTTGTTGTTGTTTTTTGTTTGTTTGTTTTAAAGTCTCCAAGAGTAAGAAAAGAAAAATCAGTAAGCACCAGACACTTGTGATTAAAATAAAGCCCACCCAAAACTTTTCCTGTGATAAAGGGAAGCTACTGAGAGGCATGTGAGATATTACAAGCAAAAACAAAGTGGGTGTATGGGTGGGCCTTTGGTGAAAATGGAGATAAAAACTTGATCTTCCTCAAATGCTTAGACAGTGGGGTGAAACAACAGTTATGAAGCTGCCTGGCTCAGTTCAGGTTCTTCCTGTTGAGCTCAGCTGTCTTCCAAACCATGTCCTAGAATTGGCAGAGCAGGGGTGGGGGGGGGGGTGTGTGCGGGGGTGGCTTGATTGTCCTAGCACAAGGAAATGACCTAACAGAGGAAGGGTTATTCCAGAAATAGGTTAAGGTCAATCTCCTTTCTTCTAGAGTCCCTCTTCCTTCCTTCCTTCCTTTTTTTTTTTTTAATAGAACTTCAGATCCTTGTATATTGCTTCAGTTTCTCCTCACTACTAGGGCTTTCCACTCTGCATGCAGACATAATTGAGTTTCATATTACAAACAAAAGGAAAAGTTACCTCTTCCAATAAGTATACCTCTCTGCTTTTTCCGTTCAGACTGCTGCCTGTGCCTGAGATTCAGGGGGACATTAAACTCCTTTGCCCCTTAGTGCCCAACTTCTTCCTTTCTACAGACTAGAGTCATTTGCTGAAGACATTTCTGTGTAATCACTGGTTTTACAAAGTAGCTTTTTAATGCACGTAATAATCTTGGCAACTTTAATGACTTATTTTTGAGTGAAGCAATTGTAAGGGATTTGGTTATTTTATGAACTGACTTTGAACAACTTAGTGCAGAAAACTTAAGGCTACCATTACTCCTCTATTCATAAATGCCAGTCAGGACAGTTGCCCCACATGCTGCCCGACTGTATTAACCTGCTCCCTCCTTAGTTCTCCCTGGGAGCCTCCCTCTCTTGAATTTCTGAGTGACTGAGAGAGTATGGTCCTGATGGGAGCCTTTGTTGGTCACAGATATTTATTTATATTATGATTTATAATAGTAGCAAAGTTACAGTTATGAAGTAGCTTTGAAATAATTTTATGGTTGGGAGTCAATACAACATGAGGAACTGTATTAAAGGGTCGAAATGTAAGGAAGATTGAGAACCACTATGCACAGGGCCAGCATATTATGCAGCCTGTATTCAAAGTTGCTGCCTCTCCTCAGCCCTTAATCATACCACTAATTTATAGCCACTTTAGCTCTGAATACCTGAGCTGAAGACTTTCACTTACTTCCAGCCCTGAGTTACTGTGTCAATATAATTTTTCTAATTTATTTATTCCTTAGCAGTTTTACATATATACACACTCAGTGCACTTAAATTGTCTTCCCCGCTCCATACTTTTTTTTATTTTTTTTCCAGATCTTTGTCATGTTGTTCAGGCGGACTTCTAAATCTTGGGCTCTGGTGTTTCTCCCTCTTTGCCTACTAAGTAACTGAAATTGTGGGCAAATGCCACTGGCCCTGGCTTTTTTTTTTTTTTAATTTGATTTCATCTTCAGTTAAAACTTGTAAAAGTTGTTGGTATCCATTAGTGTACATCGTTTCGGGGAACAGCATATTTGCCTCTGTGCTATGTACTGGTCAACCTAGGAGCTGTAAGCTGCTAGACATCATCTTACTTCCTTTTTTTTTTGGTCTTAAGAACACTGGCAATCCTCTCTTCTGGCTGTTTTTAATTATACAATACATAATCACTAACTGTATAACAGTTTTTACTAACCATAGTCTCTAACCTGTATTTTTTTTTATTGCGAAAAGAAGAAAAAAAAACATAAACAAAAAACAAGTTTCCACCTCCTCCCAGCCTCCCATTTCCCTTCCCCTCCTCCCACCCTTCTCCCCCTCCCCCCACTCCTCTCCCCCTCCCTCTCCAGTCCACAGAGCAGTCCTGGTTCCCTGCCCTGTGTTAAGTCCTAGGTCCTCCCCCCTCCGTCCATATCTAGGAAGGTGAACATCCAAACTGGCTAGGCTCCCACAAAGCCAGCACATTAAGTAGGATCAAAACCCCCTGCCATTGTCCTTGGTGTCTCATCAGCCCTCATTGTTCGCCATGTTCAGAGAGTCCGGTTTTATCCCATGCTTTTTCAGTCACAGTCCAGCTGGCCTTGGTGAGCTCCCCGTAGATCAGCTCCACTGTCTCAGTGGGTGGATGCATGCCTCGTGGTCCCGAATTCTTTGCTCATGTTCTCCCTCCTTCTGCTCCTCCTTGGGACCTTGGGAGCTCAGTCCAGTGCTCCTGTGTTAGTCTCTGTCTCTATCTCTATCCATCACCAGATGAAGATTCTATGATGATATGCAAGATATTCGTCAGTATTGCTCTAGGATAGGGTCATTTCAGGTTCCCAATCCTCAGCTGCCCAAGGAACTAACTGGGAACCTCATCTTGGGCACTAGGGAGCCCCTCTAGGGTCAAGTCGCTTGCCCACCCTAAAGTGGCTCCCTTAACTAAGAATTGTGGTTTCGTGCTCCCCTATCCACCTTTCCTTTATCCCAATTCTCCTGTTTCCCAGGTCCCCCCTCCTTCCCTTCTACCTTTTCTCTCCCCATCTCCCCTTACCCCCATCCCACCCCCCCCCCCCCAAGATCCCATTTTCTCCCCGGAAATTTGGTCTACTTCCCTTAGCCAAGAGGACAACTATATGTTTTTCCTTGGGTTCACCTTCTTCCTTAGCTTCTTTAGGTTCACCTATTGTAGACTCCGTGGTCCTTATTTATGGCTAGAAACCAATTATGAGTGAGTACATCCCATATTCATCTTTTTGGGTCTGGGACACCTCACTCAGGATAGTGTTTTCTATTTCCATCCATTTGCATGCAAAATTCGAGAAGTCATTGTTTTTTACCGCAGCGTAGTACTCTAGCGTGTATATATTCCATACTTTCTTCATCCATTCTTCCATTGAAGGGCATCTAGGTTGTCTCCAGGTTCTGGCTATTACAAATAATACTGCTATGAACATAGTTGAACAAATGCTTTTGTCATTTGATAGAGCATCTCTTGGGTATATTCCCAAGAGTGGTATTGCTGGGTCCAGGGGTAAGTTGATCCCGAATTTCCTGAGAAACCGAAACACTGACTTCCACAGTGGTTGCACAAGATTGCATTCCCACCAGCAATGGATGAGGGTACCCGTTCTTCCACAGCCTCTCCAGCAAAGGTTATCCTTGGTGTTTTTGAGTTTAGCCATTCTGACAGGTGTAAGATGATATCTCAAAGTTGTTTTGATTTGCATTTCCCTGATTGCTAAGGAAGTTGAGCACGACCTTAAGTGTCTTTTGGCCATTTGAACTTCTTCTGTTGAGAATTCTCTGTTCAGTTCAGTGCCCCATTTTTTAATTGGGTTAATTAGCATTTTTTTAACTAACCATAATCGCTTATCTGTATAACAGAACAACAGATTTGACCATTTCTGTCTTTGTACCAATAATTGATAACACTCTGTCCCATCTCCCATGTTCCCAGGCCTGTAACTACTGCTGTATGCCCCACTTCTATGAGCAGCTTTTTGAGATTCCATGTATCAAGAGGTCACCTATGTTTTTGTCTTTCTGTGATGACCTTTTATTTCACATTAGATCTCAGATCATTCAGAGTAAACTTTTAGGTTTATGTTTTTGAGACAAGGTCTCCTTTAGAAATAAACGAAGATCTGCTTACAGTCCAGGCTCCCTTCCTGCAGCCTCAGGAATGACCTCACCAGGATGCCTTGCCCAGTGCTGGGAAGTGTGGCTGACATCCTCCTTCAGTACACTTTGTGTCCTGGTCATTGTGTTCTTGACCCTTGGTCAGGTTCCTAGCTCAACACGGAGGAAGTTTGGTGTACATGCCAAACTAGGACTCACTAGTTCTATTTTGATGTGGGGTTTTTGGTTGCCTGTGTCGTCCTGTGTCTGTCTACCTCCCTCCCTCCTACGGTGCTAAGATTAAAAGCATGTAGTACCACTCCCGGCAATACTAGCTGCATTTTATCTTAAGTGAAATATCCACTCCTCTACTTTGTGTGCTAGACTCAAATTTGTTCTCTGAAAAAGTACCCAGAACTTTTAATTAGGCTATTTAAAGCCTGCTCTATGTCATTCTCAGAGAAACAAAACTTTGATTTTGAGCCAGGTTTGTTTTTGTTTCTGTTTTGTTTCTTTTGAGACAGGGTCTTTTTCTGTAGCCCCAGCTATTCTGAAACTTGCTCTGTTGTCCAGGCTAGCCTTGAACTCACAGGGATAGAGTGCTAGGATTAAAATTATGTATCATCACTCTTGGCTTCTTTCTGGGTTTTGTTTTGGGTTTGTTTGTTTGTTTGTTTGAAACGGTCTCAGTGGGTAGTACTGACTAGCCTGTAACTCACTATGTAGCTTCCAAGTTGAGTTCTGTGCAAGGCATGAGGAGATAAGGATCTAATTTCATTCTACAGATGTCTAAACAGTTCAGCCAGCACCATTTATTGAAACTGCTGTTTTTCTCCAATGTTTAGTTTTGACCTGTTTATCACAAATCAGGTGTCTATATGAGTATGGGTTTATATATGGGTGTCCAGTTCTAGTCTATGCCTGTTTATATGAAAGTACCATACTGGTTTTATTACTATAGCTCTGTAATATACTCAAAATCTGGGATGGTGATACCTCTAGTAGTGTTTTCATAATTCAGGAGCCTTTGGGCTATTTTGAGTCTTTTGTGTTTTCATATTTTAAGGTTTCCTTTTCAGTTTTTGTGAAGAATTGCATTATTTTGAGGCAGGCTTTCACAATATAGCTCTGGCTGACTTCCAGCTCAAGAGGTTCACCTGCCTCTGACTCTAGAGTGCTCTGATTAAAGGCATGCACCACCATGCCTGACCGTTCATTGGAGTTTTGGTGGGGATTGTATTGGATATGTTACGGTGTAAATATATAATTTGCTTTTGGTAGGAATGCTATTTTCATAATATTGATCCAATACACAAGCATGGGAGGTCTTTCTGTCTTCTATTATCTTCAGTTTCTTTCTTTAATGTTTTCATTCACAAGTGTTAAAGAACGAGGTCTCTTTGCTTGCTAAGCCAGGACTCTAGCCCAGCTAGATATGAGGCACCAAAGATAGATTTCTAGGGAAAAGCAAATGTTTCCTTATGAATCCGAGGTGTATGTGAAGGGTGGGAAACTCCAAGGCTCTGCAACTTTTTAGCGAGAGGCCTTTGATGGTACAGACTTTAGGAGAAACACTTGCTCAGACCACAAGCTGAATTTGCACTGCCTTGAGTTAGTGCCTTCTTTTTGCAGAAACTTGTCCTTCATATCCTCTACAAGGAACTGCTTGGCGAGTTGATGAACTTATGTGAGCCCTGAAGAGCTAGTCTTTAGGAAAGACAACACAAGATTTGGTGACAGTTTATTACAAGGTCTCTGTGTTCTCTGACACCCTTCTGGCTTCTGAGGCTGAAGGGTGTCTGTTGTGACAAAAACTGAGGTTAAAGCCACATACAGTGCAGGCCAGAATGTGCAGACAACAAGGGTGGACATAATATCATTTAATATGGGAAGGTTCACCTGCCTTCCTAGGGGGAAGCTACAAGTGCCCTTGGAGCCTCCTAAACAAGCTCAGGCCTGTTTGCAGTCCCTGTGGCAGGGAGCAAGTGTCTTCCAGAGCAGAGCACATTGGTTCCACAGCACTTGGTCTCCTGTTAGGGATGTCATTGTGGTTACTAATAATTCATTCATATAATGTGGATCCATAACGATCCATTTGGGTTAGAAGTAAATAATTCTCTTAATTATCTTAAACTATTGGATGCATGTAATTTTCGTTAGATTTACTAATACTTCATTTAGGTAATGAAATTTCCTACTCTTCTGTTGACTTCTGTTTATGGTATTGTTTAGGTAGCTGCATATTGACCTCTGTCAGTCAAGTTTAGATCTGCATTTGTGTAGCTTTATTTACACTTAAATTTGGTAAATGAATAACTGGGTTACCTTGGTTGACAGAGAATGATAGGACCATGGCAAAGAGGCCCATTCCTCAGCAACCTACAGGGATTGACATGCAAGCATGTAACATTTTTGTCCTGTCTTTTGTCTTCACAGTGAGAGAAAAACGCAAGAGTCTCTTCATTAACCATGTAAGTGAAAGTGTCTCCCTGGTTCCCTAACAGTTGTATAGACTTGGGTAGGTGAAGAGGCCTTATGTGTTGTGTGGTACTTAGAAGACTATGAGGAGTGATGAAATGCTGATTTGCCAGGCATTGCTTGGGATTCATTCTCACAGCCATGTCTCCAGATTCCCTGGGACTGCGGGGAAGGGAGTGTGCCTATGGAGAAGACCACAGTCCACCACAACATTACACAGGTCCAAGCAAAGCAACGGCTTATCATTTTGAACCTTTCCTTTTTGCTCACACTGAATTCCTGTTTTTTGGGGTTTTGTTTTTTATTTTTGTAGTGCAGTTCCCTTTGAATAAATACATAATTACTTTTAAGAGCAGCTGTCTACTTCCTTTCTCTCTTCTACATAATTGCTGTTTGTGGAACAGGGCTGCACATTTTGTGTGTGTGTGTGTGTGTGTGTGTGTGTAGTACTCAGAAACAGTTTATATGTTTGGAGTAACTAAACTTGACCCTTTAACTTTAAAAGCATTTTCAAAATTTCCATCTAACAAAATTTCCTTCTAATGCCTTGGCCATTCTGGGCAGTGTATCTCCCCATGGTGGCTGCACAGGATAGTAACAGGCTCATCTTACCTTCTCCAGCCTTTCCCCACTGCAGACAAGTTATAACCACACCTCTCGTCTAAACATGTGTCTTGTTCTTTAAGGAAAAACACTGCTTCTCCAAGGTAAGGAGTAAGGTAGTTAGTGTGCTGTATACTCTCACTGAAAACTGCAGATGAGTCCGACATTACAGAGGTTTGGCTCCGGGTTGGTAGACTGCATTTCAGAATTGTAGACTTTGACTTAGGTAATGATAAAGCTGTGTATTTGAGACTCAAGGCCATTAAAAGGACACATGCTGAGCCCATAAGGAACTGGTGATTCCTCCGCAGCAATCACATCTAGTGCATACATATCATTTCCTAGAGGTCAGAGGGTCCATAGGTTCATGTAATTGGAGGCTGTGCATTGATTTCCTGGCTGCCCAGATCCGAATAAACACACAGAAACTATATTAATTACCACACTCTTTGGCCAACGATTCAGGCGTATTTCTAGCTAGCTTTTATGCCTTAAACTAATCCATTTTTTATTATTTTATATTTTACCATCAGACTCATGATTTGTTACCTCTTGCTTCCTGTGCTGTTACATGGCATCTGCCTCCTTTGGCAGCTACATGGTGTCTCCCTAAGTCCCGCCTTCTTTCTCCCCGTATTGTTTAGTTTCCCCCTCCTCCAACACCTCTCCATCCCACCCCCACCCCCTGCCTAGCTCTAGTCTGCCCTGCCATAGACCAAAGCAGCCTCTTTATTCATAGCATACAGGGGGGAATCCCCCATCAAGATCCTGCCAGGTTTGTTTGTTTGTTTGTTTTATTTTTCTTGTGTTATGTGAGGACACATGAGCCACATCTTCAGCCCTCTGTTGGATTTCTAGAGCACTTCCCTGGTCCTCTAGATTGGTTTTGTTGTTGTTGTTATTTTAATTTTTCTTTTAATAGCCACAATAGTTTATTTATGGTTGAAGTATATAAGATAATTATAAGACAGTTTTAAACTTGAGGAATGGTATTAACAATATGAATTACACCACAGACAGCAACATGAAACTGCCATAAAACAAAGCTGAGGCACCACAGTTTTTATTTTAATTCATTAATTTAAACCATGCTTTAGGAGAACTGCAGGACCTTTCCTTCAAAGATTGAATTTCATAATTTTGTATCCCTTGTAGGGAAAACTAAGACTAATTCATTCCCCCACACTCTTAACACACTATAATTTCACTCTTGGAACTTTATATCAACCTCCTTCTCAACAAGCTTCAACATACCCAAAACAAAGGAAATCTAGAAGAGGAGACAATAAAATTAGAGGTCCTCAGGGAAATAGAGAACGCAAGCAGTAGACTTCACTTAAGTCTTACCGGGTAGCACTTCCTTGGCTGTCTAGATTTGCAGCATAGAATTGTAAAACATCTATGGGATCAGAGTATATAACATGAGAAGCGGTAATGCAAACGGCTGTGCTTTTTGTGTGTTAGGAAGTGGTGTATTCCTAAATACAGAAGGGTGAGTGATTGAAGCTCTTTTCCAGTATTTACCTCTCAGTGAACTTGTTTGCTTTCCCCACTTTTAACACTTAGGTGCTAGAGAGTACATAAGGGAAGAGCTGAAATTGCACCCAAACCCGAGGGCCTGTGAGGAAAGAAGAGGTTTGATTGTCCAGGCTACTCCTGATGATGGCTAATTGGACAGGTGTGATCTCACATCTCCAATCTCCATAATTGTTTTTATATGCTCTCCACTGTGACCTAACTTGTATGTGTCCTGTGCACTCCAGGCATGTGTCTCCCCTACTGAATCAGTAGCCATGGGCCAAGCTATGTGGATCTGGGTGCTAGGTTGTACGCCCCAACTCATGCTTTTCTATGTGATTTGTCCAGCAGTAGTACAGTGAAGTCAGACAGAGGTTGATCTCTCACATATCCTTGACCCAAATAAAGAAAGTCATGTGCTGGGTTTCTTTGTAACAGATGACCTGGATGGAACATGTGATCTTCCACATTGTTTGATTTCTCCCTTGGGTTTCTGAAGAACCTGTGTGGTGTACATTGCTCAGGCATTCTACAAAGAAGATGCTGTTATTCTAGAAACGGTGCTGTAGATGAGCCAGTGAAGAGGACTTGGCAAGGTTCCCTCTGCTTCTAGCTAACTAGTAGCAACTGTAGGTGCCTTGGTTACTGTTCTCATTGCTGTGATCAAATACTTGACAAACACAACATAAGGGGAAAAGGATGATCTTGTTTGACAGTGTGAGGGTTCAGCCTATGGTGATGGGAATGTCATGGGAGCAGGAACTTAAGGGAGCTCATTACATTATATTTGCAGTCAGGAAACAGAGAGAAATGGGAGTTGGTGCTCAGCTCACTTTTTCTTCCTTCTATAGCCTGTATCTACACCCCTTGAAATAGTGCAACCCTTGTTGAAAGTGTTATCTTCCCACTTCAGTTACTCAGTCTTGAAAAACTCAGACATGCCCAGAGGCTTGTCTCCTAGGAGATCTTAGATCCTGTCAAGTTGACAATCTCTGTTAACCCCCATAGCAGGAAATGTGACCTCCTCCAGATGGGAAGGTTCTTCTGGCTCCTACCTGGAATGCCTCCTGTGAGAATGGAACCACAGGTTGGACAAGGACCAAGAGAGGGTTAAAGGATTAAAATGTCACTACTTCTAAAGATTTACTACAGTGGGACTAGAGTAGTCTGACAGTCCCAAAAGCAATGAAACCACGTGATGTAGAAAGATTAATATTCTAATCAACATTTTTATTTTAGATGTGATTAGAATGATCAATTAAAGAAAACGTAATAAGTTATGAAAAATTTAAAACCTTTTCTAAAGGTCTTTATTTAAAATGTCTTTTTTTATAAATTTGCTGTAGTTTTGGTTTTGCTTTCCTTGAAAGTCAACTACTTCAATATATTTTTAAATAAAATGTGAAAAATCTTCAATGATAAATTACAATGTTGTAGATAATTGTAGTTGGGAATCTTCCAACATCCAAGGAAAATTCATACCATTTGTGTTCGCCTCATTTTTCTATGACATCCTCCTGCCTCCTAGCAACAGCATATGTAATGTGAATTAATTATTCTAAGATATTTAGTGAAGTTTGGGGAAGTGAGAAGAAGACATTTATAGTGTACAAAGACTATTGCACAGCAGTTCTATATCTTAAGTTACTGAAGTAAAGGGGGAAGTGGGGCAGCCTGTAATATGTTTTTAAAACTCTGAACTTTGCTTCTAAGAGATTTGTTCTTATTGGGAGAGAAATATATCAGACAGCTAATGTGATGACATCAATGCAGTATTCTTGGAGTATGCTAAAGAAGATTCAGTGAAATTTCAATTATATAAAGATTTTAGAATCCACTAAGATGAAGGAATGCCAATTATTTAGAAGTAGTTTCAAATTGAGAGAAAGATTAGAAAATAAAAAAGGAAGGAATGCTGCCAAGCTCTCTTTACAAACCCAATATTACAACAAAAAGATAATGTTACAACAAAATAAAGAGAATTATTATACAGTTTCCTTGATGGATATCTATGTACAAAAATACTCAATTAAAACATTTGTAAACTGAATTCAAGAACTCTTGAATTATACACCGTGATCATGTTGGTGTCATTCCAGATATTCAGAGATGTTTCAAACATACACAAATCAATAAATCAGTACATCACATAGATGAACTCAAGAGACAACACACAGTCATCTCAGTATATTCAGAAAGCTTGTTTGGTTGTTTTACAAAATCTAACATCCTTCATGATAAAAGGCCCAAGGGACAAGGAGTAAAGAAACATCTAGACATAATTTTAAAAAACAATCTTATACACAAATCCATGCCTAACATTATGTTAAGCGGGGAAAAATAAAGTATATCCACTAAACTCAGGAACAAGATAAAGGGTTTCTATTTGTCCACTGTTTCTAGTTTTTGTTTTCTCAGTATAGTCCTTCAGTTCTTAGTTACAACACTAAGACAAGAGAAAGAAAAGAAAGAATAGAAATAAGCAAAGTGGGAGTGCCCTTATTTGCAAATAACAGACGTCCATATACCAGATACCTTAAAGACTACTAGGAAATTCTTAGCAGAGTGGTAAAATCACCATTAAAAAAAGAACCTTCCTACAGTCTAAAGACATTATTTTTTAAAATAATAATAAATCTTTTCACAGTTTAAAAAAAATCTTAGAGTACACATCTATAATTAAAACTTAAAAACACTGAAGAAGGAAAATTAAAGACACTAGAAAGTGCAGAGAGCCATGGCTGTCCTCAATGAGAGAGTCCTGTAACTGAAGTTCTAGCCTTTTATGTGGAGTTGGAATATAATTCCTGAACATTGGACACAAATTCTTGGGTCCTCTGCTTTTCTCATTGCTCAGGACTAGGGTGGGGAA